ATCTACCTCTTATTCCGCTTACATATGATCCTAGAAAATTTCACTTTGTACACCACTCTGGCCTCAACTCACAGATCTGTTTGCCTCTGCCTCCAAGTGCTGGGATGAGAAGTGTATACCACCAGGCTGGAAAGATGGCTCAGAAGTTAAAAGCACTGGCTGCTGCTCTAGAAGACCCTGGTTCAATTCCTGGGACCCACATGGCAGTCCATGCCAGACTGTAAGTCCAGTTCTAGGAGATATGACATCCCCCACACACATATATGCAGGCAAAACACCAATGCCCATAAAATAAAAATAATCTGAAGAAGCCGGGCGAGGTGGCACCCGCTTTTAATCCCAGCACTCAGGGAGGCAGAGGCAGGTGGATTTCCGTGCGTTAGAGACCAGCCTGATCTACAAAGTAAGTCCAGGACAGTCAAGGCTACACAGAGAAACCCTGTCTCAAAAAAACCAACCAACCAACCAACCAACCAACCAACCAACCAGCCAAAACAAAACTCTTTAAACAAAAAGTGTGTGCTACTACATCCAACACGCAGAATTTTAAATGTATGTGCATGTACATGTCTGTGTGTATGGGCACATGTATGTGGATGCTCAGGGAGAGCCGAAGGAGTTAGCTCTCCTGGACCTAGAGTTACAGGGAGTGTGAGCTGCCCAGGGTGGGTGCTTGCAACCAAACTTGGGTCCTCTGAAAAGGCAGCAAGCGCTGAGCCATTTCTTCAGCCCTATTTATTTATTTATCTGTTTATTTATTTATTGACAACTCTATGTATCCCTGGTTGTACTGTCCTAGAACTCATTATGTAAATCAGACTGGTCCTGAACTCACAGAGACCCACCTACCTCTGCTTTCCTAGTGCTGGATTAAAAATATGTATTACTATGTCCACTCTTTTTATTATATATATATATAATAAAAATAATATATAATAAAATAATATATATATAATATATAATATTATATATATATATTTTTAATTTGATTATTTACTTGGAAGGTGAATTCAGGAGAATCAGGAGTTCAAAGCTAGCCTTGGCTACATTTGTAAGTTTGAGGCCAACCTGAAATACTTGAGGCCTGTCTCAAAAAATGCATATAGGTGTGTATGTGTGTATGTATGTATGGTATTAGAGATTGAAGTCCAGGACGATATATTTTCATCGCAGTAAACTCTTTATCACTTGGCAACATCCTCAGTCCCTTCTTTGTCTGGTTTTGAGACAGGATCTCTCTGAGTTTCCCAGGCTGTCCTAAAGTTTGGGATCCTTTGTAATAAAAGTTTTGGTTTCTATAAAAACTGTTATGTTATGTAAATGTGTTTTTGTCTTAATCCCAAGCATGAGATTTTAGTTTGTCCACAGCTGATAACTGCCTCGTGCGGGGTGTGCTCTTTGCCAGCCGGAGTTAGTGGAATTCTGAGGACTCTGAGGGGTAGAAATACTAGAGCCCAGAAAGAGAAGGGGCGGCAGCTTGAGGAAGACAGATGGAGGACTGCTTGCTGGCTTGCTGGCTTGCTGGCTTGCTGGCTTGCAGGTTTGCTGGTTTGCTGGTTACCTCGACGGCTGGATGTCCTGACGGTGAGATGGGTATTCCCCGCTAAAGAACCTGATGACCCCACCCAGCCAGAAGAAGTAAAGAAGGTGATGTCTCCTTTCCCTTCTAACCTCCTGTTTCTCCTACCTAGGGGTAGGGGAGGAGGTTAGGGAGAGGCTTTAAGGAACCCCAAATAAAGCAGAGTTTAAAAGACCAGCCCCTACAATTCTTCCTGCTCGAGCCCCCCTAAATGCTGAGAGTGCTGGGGTGGCCACCATGCTGGACAGTGAGCAGTTTTGGAGGGTGTCACTAGCTGGCTTGTGGTAACGAACAGTTACAGCAAAATCCTTTACATATTTAATATTAAAACACCTCAATGAGGGCATTCTTTTTATAAAAAATCTGGGGAGGAGGTTAGTAGGAAACACAGGGTGGGGCGGGATGGGGTTATTGTCGAAGAACTCTGAATAGTCTGATTTGAACGTTCTTTTTGTAACCCTTTGCTGGGTTTTTCTTTTTTGTTTTCTTTAGTGATATCGGGTCTCGCTAACATAGCCGTGGCTGTCCTGGAATTCACTGTGCAGATCACACTGGCCTCAAACTCAGGGGTTCGCTTGTCTCTACCCCTCGAGTGCTGGGATTAAAGTCCTGTGCCTTCGCTGCATTTCTGGTTACTAGGGTGCTCTACGCTCTAGAGGGTTAACTCTCTACTCTCAAAGAGAGCTCACCCATGAAACTCCCCACCCTCACCCCCCTTTCAGAATGCCCAGTGTCCTGGCACCTCCAATGCAGCTATACTCCCCCCCCACCCCCCGTCTAGGCATCAATTTTCTGGCCTCTTTTATTCATTCCAAATGTTTTAAATTTTTCCTCCCCTTTCAGGCACAGGGAAAATATGATTTATTTCATAGTCTTCCCTATCTATTTCTGCAGAGCGATGTCTGTCCCCTCTTTAAGTTCCTCTGCATTTATAATCTAAACTGCCCTTTTGACACCTATTTACTGCCTTGGATTATTCCCTTTTCATGTGTGTCTTCTCAACAGACTGTGAATTTCCTCAGGGTAGGAATTAGGTCACATTTATCTTTGTGTCTCCCAAGGCACTTAATAAAACACCTCACTCACACAGTCTCTCCAACACACTTTCTTAGCCATTATCTCATTTGATCATTACATCAATGCTAAGAGACTGGAGTTACTAGAAATATGTTATTCCCTCCTTTTGACAGGAAGGAGAGCTGTAGCCCAAGGTCTCATGGCTTGAAAGGGACAAAGAGGGAAGAGATAATGGCACACAAAGATCTGTCCAATGGAAGGGTCCCATCGTTGTTGTCTCCATCCTCCTTTGGAAGGCAGGCTGCTGTACCATCACCTCTCTCCGTCTCCCCGTGCTTTACAGACATTTAGCCAAGGCTTCGTAGTTCAGTATTTAAGAACCTGAAGACTTGGGAGATGAAATTTCAGTAAATCTCTGATCAGCTGAGAATCACCAAAGCATGCTTGCTATTTTGTTCTGAGCACTGTTGGTGCATAGGCCTGGTATTTAATGAGGCTGCATTGCAGAACCGAGGAAGCAGAAACAATTTTTTTAAAGCCTTGGAAAATGACAGCCCTCTAGCATTAAACATGAAACATGGCAGCTGATGCTCTGACCAAGGGCACAAAAAATCCTTTCCCTCCTGGATCATTCCTCTGTGTATAGTAGTGGAAGTCTCTGCTGGTCCTTCCTCCTTCCTCCTTCCTCCTCTTCCTCCACTATGACTAGCCATAGCTTGTTCTAAAGTGGTGGTTCTCCACCTTCCTGATGCTGTGATCCTTTAATACAGTTCCTCATGTTATGGTGAACCCCAGCCATAAAGTTATTATCACTGCTACTTCCTAACTGTAATTTGTTACTGTTAAAAATCATAATGTAGGGGCTGGAGAGATGGCTCAGCGGTTAGGAGCACTGGCTGGCCTTCCAGAGGACCCAGGTTCAATTTCCATGTGGCAGCGCACACCTATCGGTAACTCCAGTTCTACTCCAGTTCTTCTGTTGACCTTCACATACATGCAAAACACCAGCGAATATAAAACAAAAATAAACTACAGAAACCCCGTAATGAAAATCTCTGTGTTTTCCAGGGTCTTAGGTGACCCCTGTGAAAGGGAAAGCTGAACAGCTCCGTCTCCAAGCACGCTTTGCACCATCCTATCAGTTTGTTCCCTGATGCAAGAGATCTAGTAACTGGGCTAGGAAGATGGCTTAGCCATTGACCTTCTAGAAAACCTGGGTTCAATTCCCAGCACCCACCTAACGGTAACTGTAAGCAGTTCCCGGGGACCCCACAGCACCAAGCTTACAACGGTACACATACATACAGGCAGGCAACACACATATATAAAACCAGTAAAATAAACAAAAAAATTAGAAACTAACCTTGGAGCAGTAAATTTCATATAAAACTTTCATTTTTCAGGCGGGGGAGAGGAGGAGGCAACTTCAGCATGGTGCCCAGGCCTCGCCTTGAACTTCAGACCTTCCTGACTCAACTTCCAGGGTAGGTGGGGTGAAGGCTGAGTGGTACATGTCCAGCTAAACAGCTTATTTTCTTGAAACAATTCTCCTCCTGGTTGGGTCCCCTTAGGTTTGTAAAATCAGTGTAGGCGGGGGTAGGGGTGAAGGGAGAAAGGTAAACGGAGGGCACCGCAGTTAACATAAACGGGTAAAGGAGCTTGCTGCCAAACCCATGACGTGAGTTTCACCCCCAGAACCTGCAGCGTGGAAGAGCGGACTCCCACAACGTCTTCTGACCTCCAGAATGCACGTAGCACACACAGTAAGTAAAACGGGATTTAAAAAAATAATAAAGGGAGAGCAGAGGAGGCTGGATTAAGAAATCCAAGAGGCAGGGCTGGAGCGATCGCTCAGTGGGTAAGAGCACTGACTGCTCTTACAGAGGATCTGAGTTCAAGTCTCAGAACCTCTAGATCTAGTAGCTCACAAGCACCTGTAACATCGGCTCAAAGAGCTCTGGCTCCCTCTTCTGACCTCCGGGGACGCGGCACACAGAGAGCGCATGCGCGCGCCCACGTCTCTAAATAAAAGTCAAGCAACGGGGGTCAGTAGCATGAACCTTTCATCTCAGCACTCGGGAGGCAGAGGCAGGCAGGTCTCTGAGTTCCAGGACAGCCTGGTCTATAAAGCGAGCTCCAGGACCGAGTCAGCCAGGGCTATGCAGAGAAACTCTATCTTGTAAATAAACCTAAAACAACAAAACACCTTCCAGAGGAGGCCCGCAGAGGTGCGATTTGTTCGAGCATCGAGGACCACAGAGGCAGGCTGTGGCCTTCCATGCCTAGGTCCCCCTTCCCAGGCTCTCCGCGGCAGTTGCGCCCCCGGCGCGCGCTCCCGGGGCGGGGTCTCCGTTCCCGCCCAGCGCAGCCCCGCCCCGCCCCGCCCCGCCCCGCCCCGTGGCTCCTTTCTGGCCGGTTCCGCCTCCGCCGGCGGGAGCGACCGTCCCCGGCAGTCCCCGGCCTCGGTCCCCTCGCGGCGGGGTGTGCGGGTTGGCTCTCTTCGTCCGTGCGCTCGCCCTTGGGACTCCTTGGCGGCCCAGACGGTAGGTCGGCGCCGGAGAGCGCGTCCTGCATCTTGATTATCTCGGGCCTTGCCAGGGTCACCTCTTGGGAAACCAGCCCGTACGGTCAGTCCGCGCCCAGGGGCTCGAAGCACGCCTGCGTCAGAGCCCTGCGCTGGGCGCCCCCCGCGCGTGTGCCTCCCGCGGCCTGCGCAGGGTGGGGTGCAGCCGGGGTCCTGACCTGCGGCCGCTGAGGACCCCCCCGACCGGTTGAAACCCTGGTGGTTGGGTGCCTGACTGGGTGCCTAAACTTCGTTTGCAGGCGTAGCCCAACCGTGAACCGAACTTTATCCGGGAAACTTAGCTAAGTAGCTTTTGTTGACAGGTCGATCGTTGGTAATTCTTGACGTTTCAGTTCAGCAGGGATCGTTATCGCCTGTTTTGCAGGTGGAAGAGGGTTGGCGCCAGAAGAGCGAGCGTTTCGCGGAAACTGCCGCGGAAACGCTCATTTGTGGCAGGCCTAGCTTTGCGCCTCCTCAGCTGCGTCTTCTAGACCGCGTTGCAAAACGAGCGGGTAGTCGCTTTCTTAAGGCTCCTCAAAGGAGCGAGTAAGCCAGTGTTCTGTCGACGTGAAGCGCTACGTCCTAATCAGCTTCAGGGTCGGCGCTGATTTGGGCTCAGCTGCTGTTTGGAGCAAGCGTGGGCGGGCAGTGTTTGTGTTCCTGTTCTGTCTCTCCCCGCTCTCTGTTGAGGACAGTTCGAGGCCCTCCAGGCTTTGGACAAAAACACCCGTAACTGTGTCACCTTCCTCTGCAGTCTGCGGGACACTGTTGTCGTGTCCTCTTCTCTAGGTGTAGTTACGGAAAAGGCTGCTGTTGTTCAAGGGTCTCTGTCGCTCCTGATAGGAGCTCTTCCGTGAGATGACATGGTCAGAGAAGCACCAGAAAGCCAGTGAGCTGTGCCTGGGCAAAAGGCACTCTTGGATCCCTTCCTCTCCACCCCCCCCCCCCCCCCCAGTTTACTGGGAACACGAGAGCAACAGTTTGTATCTTCAGCACAGTGGTAGTGGTAGGGAGAAGCCTTCCACTAGACCTTAGTGGACTTGGGGTGGGTAGGGAGGGGAGTTGGAGGGTTTCTCTTCAGAGTCATCTTTTGGACAGCTTGGGATTTGTTCTTGGAATGTAATGTTCTTGTAAGTTTGTCCATAAAACGCTGAAGTTTGGGGACCCTGATGTCTGATACAGCCCTGTCCTATAAGAAACATCTCTGAGGCAGATTTGGTGGCACACACCCTCAATCCTAGCGCCCAGGAGGAAGAGGCGGGTGAAGAGGGTTGAAAGTTAAAGGCCTGCCTCAGCGGCACAGAGTTTGAGACCAGCCTAGGCCTGGGAAGACTGTCTCAGGTTGTGGTCACCTGGACCAGCCAGGGGTTTGCTCATCTTGCAGTTTTCTTCCATCTGGTTCCATACAGATAACGCCAAGAAAATCAGATGGCATCCGGAGATTTCTGCTCACCTGGAGAAGGGGTGGAAATACTGCAGCAAGGTAAGGGTGGTGTCTTAGGGTTTTATTGCTGTGAAGAGGCACCACAGCCAAGGCAGCTTTTACAAAGGAAAACTTAACTGGGGCTGGCTTACAGTTCAGAGGCTCAGACCGTTATCATCATGGCTGGAAGCATGGCAGCCTGCAGGCTGAAGGAGTCAAGAGTTCTATATCTTGATCCAAAGACAGCCAGGAGACTGTCTCACCTTGGGCTTAGCTTGAACAAAGCCCCGCCTCTACAGTGAAATACTTCCTCCAATAAGGCCACACCTCCTAATAATGCTACTCTCTATACCACGCCAAGCATTCAAACACATGGGCCCTGTGCATCTTCTAACCACCACACGTAAGTCTCTGCAAAAGGCCTGATGACTTTTCCAGGGGTTTTGTCCAGATCCTTTTCTCCTGTGACGAAAAGCCTCCCAGTGTCCCATCAGAATGATTTCACTCACAGAGCCCCCGTAGCTGAGGAAAGTGAAATCTAGGAGGTTCTGGGGCACATCAGAAGCAGGTGTACCAACTGCCCGTGCTGACCCAGTATCTGCTTATCTGCTTGCTATGGTGCATTGGCAATCTTTTGTCAGGGTAAGAGGCGGCTGGCCTGTCCATTAAAGGCTTCTTTCCTGCTTGTGTTTTCATGTTCCTCTGGTAGCTGAGGCTGGCCTTGAACTTCTGATTCTCCTGCCTCCGCCTTATAATACAGAGATTGTAACTGTGCCCCACCACACCCAGTTTCAGGCCAGAAAATGCAAATAAAAGACTTCTTATACTCTAAAATGACTTAATAACAATCCAAAGATTAAACACGTGAGTGTTTGGTAGGTAACAGGCCTCAGCAGAAAGCCCCTGGGAGAGAGTTGGAGACAGGTCTCGAGCAACTGGGACGCTCGAGCAGAAGACACCGTGCTCTTGCTTGTCCTTTCATGCCTGTGCTGGTGTTTGCCCACAAGGGTTACTCCGCTCTGCTGACAAGGAGAGGATTCTAAGCGGCCAGTTGGTTTCTAGCTTTACCTTTCTCAGCCTTGCTTTTGTGAATGAGGAAGGTAGCAAGTCCACAGCTGGGACTTGCCGTGTCTGTCTCCCTCTCTTTCCTCAGGAACGCAAATGATTCTGGCCAGGCTGGGCATTGCACGCCTGTAACCCCCGAATTTAGGTGGGCGAGGCAGGGGATTACATTTCCATCTACCGAGACCTTACTTTGTGATTAACATCCTTGTATATGAAGTAAATGCTTGGCTAGTTGGAGTATGATTGCTGGTTTATTTGTGATTTGTATTTCGAGGCAGCGCCTAACAGTGTAACGCAGGCCCCTCTGGAGGTCAGGTAGCCCAAGCTGGCCACGAACTCCTAACTCTCCTGCGTGTGCATCTCCCTAGTGCTGAGATCCCATGTGCTACCACATTGGTTTCTGGTTTTGTTTTTGTTTTTCACTTATTTATGTGAGCACTAAAGTGTAGCGAGTCAGAGGACACACATGAGGACTTCGTGCTCTCCTTCTGCCGTGTGCTTTCCGGGGAACGGACACAGGTCATAGGCTGGGGCCAAGTACCCTTAGCAGCTGGCAGCTGTTTGTTCAGTATCTCACCGTGTAGTCAGGCTGATACCAAAGCCTTCTGCCTCAAGGACCCTCCTCCCTCAGCCTCCTGAGTCGCAGGGACTGCAGGTGTGTCATGGCTCCTGGCTTTACTTATTTTTCTGTTTAAATTACATTCTATTTAGAGAACTTTCCCATTAAGACCAGGGTTGTCTTTTTTTTTTTTTTTTTTTTTTTTAGTAAGTGATACAATTACATACATTGAGTGCCAATTATACATTGGGTGCCAGTTCTAAAGGGGCTCTCTTCGGACTGCCAGCTCCCAAAAATGACACGGAGACCTTTTATTAATTTTGAAAGCTTCGTCCTTGGCTTGCTCCTAACTAGCTTTTATAACTTAAATTAACCCCTTTGTACTAATCTATGTCCCGCCGCATGGCTCATTACCTCTCCTCAGCCTCAGCAGCTGGCTGGCAAATCCTGCACCTGATTCTTTCTAGAGTTCCTATCTTCGCCTGAAAGTCCCACCTATCTTGTCTTGTTTTGCTATAGGCCGTTCAGCTCTTTATTTTATTCATTCATTCATTTATTCATCCGTTTATTTATTTAATTATTTTGAGACAGGGTTTCTCTGTGTAGCCTTGGCCGTCATGGAATCACTCTGTAGACCAGGCTGGCCTCAAACTCACAGAGATCCACCTGCCTCTGCCTCCCTGAGTGCTGGGATTCCAGGGGTGCGCCACGGCGCCCAGCTCCGCTCAGCTCTTTAGTAAATCAGTCCGAAGGGGTTGGAGGGAGTGTTTACAAAATAGGATGCAGCTGTAAGAAAAGCCCTGCCCGGTACAGAGATGGGCATTTCAGTACTGCAAAGGCAACCTTTCACAGGGCACAGAGAGGCTACGCCCCGTGCTGTGCCCGGTTCCGTAAAGCAAGGAGTCCACGTGTTGGCTTTGTCTGTCATTTTTCAAGTGTGTGACAAGCAGTTTCCTCCTTGTGCCCTGAGTGAAGAGGATCTGATACAGAACCCGAATTTCAGCAAGCTGTTGCTTAGGCTCTCGCAGCATGTGGACGAAAGCGGCTTAAGCCTCACGCTGGCAAAGGAGCAGGCTCAGGTACCGCCCCTGGGAGAAGGGGCGGCGGGAGGACCCTGCAGTCCCTGCGAGAGAAAGGGTCTCAGGCAGGGACTTTGTTCTGCTGGGAGGCGTGGAATGAAGTCCGGCTGCATAGGACGGCGTGGCTGAGGTACGAGATCTTGCAGAGGGTCATCCAAGAGCTGCTCGTGGACTACTATGTCAAGGCCCAAGACACGAACCTGACCTCGGAAGACAAGAAGGTGAGGCCGGAGGAGCGAGGTAGTGCTGGCTGCAGGGAGGAGGACAGCCAGGCTAGCCGGCTGTGACAGCACACAGTGGTTACCCAGGGCTTGTGAGGCTGTGGGAGGAGCTGCAGGGTGGGGATTTGCGGCCAGCCTGGGCGACACAGTGAGACCCTATAGGAAGAAAAAGAAGAGAAGGGGAAAAGAAAGGATGGACACGGGGAGGGGGTGAGGAGGGGGGAGGAAGGGGGGGAGAACCCTAGTGACTCACTTGAGGACTTTGAGGAGAGGTGCATGGGGATGGAAGATGTGGGGATGAAGTCCTTTCTGTTTTGTTCTTCTGAGAGTGGTGTAGCCCTTACTGCATAGCCCTGGCTAGCCTGGAACTGGCTACAGTAGACTAGGATTAAAGGCATGCGCCATCTTTGTCCAGCTAAGTCAAAAATCTTAAAATCATTTTTTGTTTTGTTTTGTTTTGTTTTTAGTTTCATGAGACCCTTGAACAGCGGCTGCTTGTAACTGAGCTGACACAGCTTTCCAGTCCTGGCCAGGAGACGGAGATGCCCCCACTGCTGGGGCTGGACAAGGCTGACCTGCTGGAGCTCATGCCTCCCTCACAGGTCGGAGGTGGATACGGGACCCAGCGTTTTAAGTCCTCCTATATCAGCTGTCTGTCTCTTTCAACAGGATGTTAAGTATTTGTTTGAGGTTGGCTTTGAATTTTGGGTCCTCCTAACTGTTCTCCCAAGTGCTGGGATTATAAGCGTGTACCACCATGCTTGGTTTAGGAGGTGCTGGGAGTCAAACTCAAGGCCTCTTGTGTGCTAGGCAAGCGCTCTGCCAACTGTGCTACACCCACAGCTAACATTTTCTCTTTTTCCTCCTATTATTATTATTATTATTATTATTATTATTATTATTATTATTATTATTATTACTACTACTATTATTATTATTAGTTAATGGATGTTTTGCCTAATTGTGTGTCTGTGCACCATGTGTGTGGAGTGCACATGGCGGCCAGAAGAGGGCATCAGAGATCAGATCCCCTAGAACTGGAGTTCCCTATAGGCACTGGGACTTGAACCGGGGTCCCTGGACGAGCGGCCAGTGCTCTTTCAGATGATTTACCCAACCGAGTGTGTTTTTCTGTCCTCCGCACGTGCCTTGTCTGCTTGGGGCAACACTGCTTGCCCCAGGCTGACTTCTAAAGGGGACGCGCCTCAGAGCCACCATGACCACTCCATGTGTGCATCCTCTGGAGGAATTTCCAAACACGAAGTCCCCGTCTCATCTCACTCTGCCACTCGCCCGACCGGAGACTGAGAGAGTGAAATGCAGTATACGTATGTGTGTATACATATATATATGAACGTCGCGTGTTGATGATGTAACACTCCCCTTGCTCATTCTCACTTTATAGAAGTGTTTTGCCCATAAGTACGGTCTGTGCACCCCATGCCTGAGGAGACTACAGAAGGGTTTCCTGAAGCAGGAGTTACAGCTGCTGTAAACAGAAGCAAACCTGGGTCCTCCGGAAGAGCAGCCAGTGCTCTCAACCACTGAGCCATCTCCGGTCTTCCTCCTTTTAAAAGCTTTTTTAGCAGGGCACAGTGATGCACGCGTGTAATCCCAGCACTCAGGGAGGCAGAGGCAGGTGGATCTCTGTGAGTTCAAGGCCAGCCTGGTCTACAAAAGTGAGTCCAGGACAGCCAGGGCTACACAGAGAAACCCTGTCTCAAAAAACAAAAACAAACACTTTTGGGAGACCAGACCTAACTGTGTAGTCATGGCTGGATGAACTCTGTGTAGACCAGGCTGGGCTTGAACTCACAGAGATCCACCTGCCCCTGCCTCCTGAGTGCTGTGAATAAAGGCATGTTCTACCACTCTTGGCCCATCCCCTTGTTTTTTTCTTAGGCAGGATATCACTATATAGGCCAGACTGTCCTCAAACTTGAAGGCAGATGTCGGTGGATCTCTGAGTTCAAGTCTATCCTGGTCCAGCTAGCTAGTTCCAGGCTACCGGGAGACAGGTAACACAGTAAGACCCTGTCTCAGAAATAAATCAAACAAAAGGAGTAGAGGTTCATGTCTGTAATCCCTGGGTCCTGAAGCAGAGGGTTCTGAGTTCAAAGCCAGCCTGGGTCTATGTAACAAGTCTATCCCAGAAAACAATAAAGTCAGGCAGTGGTAGTGCAAGCCTTTAGAACCAGCACTTGGGAGGTGGAGGCAGACAGACCCCTTGAGTTTGAGTCCAGCCTGGTATACATGGTGAGTTCTAGGACAGCCAATGCTATAGAGAGAGAACCCTGTCTCAAAAAAGAAAAAAGAAACAATAACAAACAATAAATAAAAGTGATACCTCCAGTAGCACTCTGAAGAGTGTCTAGGCCCTTGGGTGCTTGGCAGCTTTATTGTACCAGCTTAAACCACTTGCAGGGATAGAGAGACAGCTCAGTGGTGGACCTTGCCTAGCATGCCCACGGTCCGCATTTGACAAGAATAAACAGAACCCCCGGTAGGACTCTACTGGGTGCCTAGAGCATGGTTTGCTTGGTGCTGTGTTTAATTTGTGATTTTGAGACAGGGTCTCATGTAGTCTCTGGCCTTGAACTCCCCGTCCTGCCTCGGTCTTCCAAATGCTAGGATTAGGGGACTGCCATCCCAGGCTATCTTGGTCTGGTTTCATTGGTTACATGTGAGGCAATCTGTCCTCACATCCCCCGGAAGGGTCTTCCTGGTGCTGACAGTCCGTGCGCCTCTCTGTAGGATTTCGTGTGGATGAGGGCGCGGCTCCAGCTGGAGGTGGAGGAGCAGCTCAAAAGGAAGTGTTTCACCCTGCTGTGCTACCACGACCCCAGCTCAGGTGAGAGCCGCCCTGGCCTGCTCATGTTCCTTCAGCCTCCCTGGTTAGCAGGCTTTTTCAGTTCTGTGTGGGTTTGAAACAGGTCTTCGCCTATATTCCAGGCTGTCTCACCAGGAACTCACTTTGTAGCCCAGGCTGTCCTCAAACCTGTTGTAGTTCTCCCGCCTTAGCCTCCCAAGTGTTGGGATTATTGGATAATCTAATAAAACTGCCTATACCTGGGCTGGACAAAAGAGACGTAGGCAGAGCTGAGGTTCATGGGCTTGGAGGAAAGAAGGCGAGGAGATGTAAGCATGGGTTAGTGTGAACATGGCTAAAAACAGCCTGCTCTGAGGATTGGCTTGATGGAGAAAAGCTAGCCAAGTGGAAAACATCTGCAAGTATTTTTATGGGGGACTTTTGGGTGTGAAATAGACAAGCTAGCTCAGAGGGCTAATGTCTGCTCAGCCTCAGGTATGTTAAGTGAGGCTTCTTAAAAACCTAACAGGTTTCTGTGTTCGTCTGTTTCCAAAATAGCAGGTTAAGGGATAACTGCTGCCTTAATAATAATATGAATCAACATTAACATTAATAATCCCACCACACGCATGTGCACACATAATTTTAAAATAAAGAAACGCAAATACAGGAATGCCTATGAACAACGGCTGGAGTGGTGGCTCATCAGTTAGGAGCGCCTGGCTGCTCTTGCAGTAGACATTCCTGGCACCCACACTGGGCAGTTGACACCTGCCTGTGACTCCAGTGACAGAAGGCTCGTGACACCTGTGGCCTCTGCAGGCACCTTCCCCCTACAGCTACATAACTAAAAATAAATCCGAATAAGTCGGGTGTGATGGCACATGCCATTAATCCCAGCACCCTGGGGCAAAGCAGGTGGAGCTGGCCCTCCAGGGCCTACAGTAGGCCTATTATTTGTCATTCCTTGGACATCCTGGGCTGCAGAGCTAGAGAACCTGAGTAGAAGATGCAGACACTGTTGGGAAAGCAGGGAAGAGGCCTGACCTGGGACGTAGGACGGGGCATTAGAGAAAGGGCCTTGCAGGGCGTTGTCTATTGGGGTTTTCCTGTCCTCTCTGTGCAGATACTGATGGAGAAGCGCTGAAAGCAGCCAAGGTGTGGTCGCTGACAGAGGTCCTGGTGGGAGAGAAGCAGCAGTGCCTTGAGGCCAAGGGCCAGCAGAAGGAGCAGCTGGTGCTGCTGGAGAAGAAAAGGGCTACCTACTCCCAGGTTTGTCGGCAGCGGCCTTCCTTTTTTTTGACCCCAGGACCCCTTAGGCAAGCTGAGGCCTTCTCTTACGGTTTCCTTATCCTCTCTCTGGGGCTACAGGTGCTTCTCCGCTGCCTCAGCTTGCTAAAGAGTCTTCTTCAGGAGCACCGGCTGAAGACTCAGCCCGAGCTAGACCGAATCAACACCCAGTACCTGGAGGTCAAGTGTAGCGCTATGATCCTCAAGCTCAGGTGAGCGGCGAGCCGGTGGATCAAAGGGACTCTGTCTCACCTGCTGCTCCCCCATCCTGCTCCTCATCTCTCCTCTCCGTGCCTAGGACCACTGGGTCCCAGGCAGTGTCACACAGCAGTGTAATTGGCCTTTCTTGGTGTTACCAAAAGCTTTCGGCACTCTTAGGTATTAATTTTAGAGCCTTCTGAAATAGGTGTTTTACTGTGAAGCCAGCTGCTTGGGGATTCACAGTGACTTTTTCTCTCTGTACATTGACTGTGGCTAGCTAGCTACCACGGTTTTTTTGGTTTTTCAAGACAGGGTTTCTCTGTGTAGTCTTGCTGTCCTTGTAGACAAGGCTGGTCTCGAACTCAAAGATCTGCCTTCCTCTGCCTCCCTGAGTGCTGGGATTAGAGACATGTGCCACTGAGCCCGGCTCTTTCTTTCTTTTCTTTTCTCTCTCTCTCTCTCTCTCTCTCTCTCTCTCTCTCTCTTTTTAGATAGGGTCTCATTATGTGGTCCTAGTCCTGGTCCTGGTGAGCTGGTTGCCCTGAAACTCACTATGTAGGCCAGGCTGCCTTGTACTCAGAGTTCTACCTGCTTCTGCCTATTGAATGCTGGGGTTAAAGGTGTGGGCTACCACAAGAGTTAGCTGCTCATTTAAAAAAAAATTGTTTTGGGGGCTGGAGATATGGCTCAGTGGTTAACTGCACTGGCTGCTCATCCAGAGGTCCTGAGTTCAGTTCCCAGCACCCACAACCATCTGTAATGGAATCTGATGCCCTCTTCTGTCATGCTGACATTCATGCAAAGAGAGTGCTCATATACATAAATAAATCTTTTTTTAAAAAGTATGTTTTGGGGCTGGAGAGATGGCTCAGAGGTTAAGGGCACTGGCTGCTCTTCCAGAGGTCCTGAGTTCAGTTCCCAGCAACCACATGGTGGCTCACAACCATCTATAATGAGATCTGGCACCCTCCTCTAGCATGCAGGTGTATTGGTATATGCAGGCAGAACACTGTATAATAAATAAATAAATCTTAATTTAAAAAAAAAAAAGTATGTTTGGGCCAGGTGTTAGTATCCCACGCCTTTCAGTACTCAGGAGGCAGAGGCAGGGGCATCTCTGTGAGTTCAAGACCAGCCTGGTCTACAGAGCAAGTTCCAGGACAGCCAGGGCTACACAGAGAAACCCTATATTGAAAACCCCCCCAAAAAAAAGTTTTGATTTATTATTACTTTCTATGTGGATGAGTGTTGATGATGAGTGTTAAGATTGCATGTATGACCTCTGGTAACCACAAAGGTCAGAAAAGGGTGATGGATTCCTTGGATCTGCAGTGACAGCAGTTGTGAGCTGACTTGTGGGTGCTGGAATTTGAACCTAGATTTTCTGAAAGAGAATAAAGGCTCTTAACCACAGAGTCATTTTTTTTTCCAGCCCTCAACTTCCCAACCTTCCTTGGCCTTTTTTGTTTGTTTGTTTTTCTGTGTAGCCCTGGCTCTCCTAGACTCACTTTGTAGACCAGGCTGGGCTTATGGCCTTGAACTTAGAGATCTCCCCCGTTCTTGGCTCTACTTTAAAAGAACTGTGTGTGTGTGTCAGTATAACTGTGTGTGTCTGTATAAGATGGGGTGAGTGTGTGCATGCACCACAGCGCATGTAGAGGTCAGAGGATAGCTCTGTGGATCCAGTTCTCATCTTCCACCTCTACATGGGTTCCAGGGATTAAACTTGGATCCTCATCGCTTGCACAGCAAGCACTGTTACCCACTGAGCCATCTCACTGGCCCCTAAACTCTTCTGTGATTTGGGATCTTCCGTGTAACGTTTCTCTCTCCCCCCGTCAGGATGGAGGAGCTAAAGATTTTGTCTGACACTTACAGTGCTGAGAAAGTGGAAGTGCATCGTCTTATTAGGTAGGAACCCCCAAGAAGTGGACCCGCCCTTCACAGCCAGTCCCATGCTCTTCAGTCACGTTCGTGTGGGCATGTTTCAATACCTGTCTGCTTTCTGAGGACTTAGGTCTTTCTATTGAACTTTCTCTGCCTGGGCTCTTAGGGACCGTCTGGAGGGAGCCATTCACCTACAAGAGCAAGACCTGGAGAAATCGAGACTGGTCCTGAAAACCTATGAGGTCCTTGGGGAGGACTTTGAGGACCTGGTGAAGGAGTACACGCAGCTCAAGCTGGCAACCGAGGACAAGCGTTGGGCCCTCCAGGAGTTTAGCAAGGCCTGCCACTGACCTGAGCGCAGGCAGAGCCAGGAAGCGTGGATTCTGCACGGTCCCCTTCTCTTCCCACCCGGTGGACCACTTCCACTGCAGTCCTTAGGGCAGCCTCCTGGTTCCTCTTCCTTGTTTACAGTAACCGGGTCTCTTCTGGAAAATGTAGCTGTCAGATTTATATAATTTAATTCATGTCCGTAAGCATCAGCCCTGTGTCATGTTTCCTGAATAAAAATGTGATGTTATGTCTAAGGAGTGTAGTCATTTTCCTTGGTCAAAGATGGAAAGAGAAGATTGAAGTGTTTGTAGTGTAGTGGTTTGAGTAAGAATGCCCCACCCCCCGCCACCCCATAGGCCAGTATATTTGATTACTTAGTCATCAGGGAGTGGAACTCTGATAGGATCAGAAGGATTAGGAGGTGTGGCCTTGGAGGGACTGTTTGTCACTGGGGATGGGCTTTGAGGTTTTAAAGACCCTTGCCAGGCCCCAGTTCTCTCTCTGCTTATGGAGCAGGATGTAGCTCTCAGCTACATCAGTACCTGCCTGACGGGATAATAATGGATAATAATAAGCAAGCACCCAATTAAATGCTTTCTTTACAAGTGTTGCTGTGGTCATGGTGTCTCTTCATAGCCAGAGAGCAGTGACCAAGACAGTGGGTAAGGTAGAAGAGCTCAGTGGAGCCTAAGACCGATCTGAACTTTAACGCTGTCCAAATAATGGAAGGTCGGTGTGCCAGCCTTGAGTCCTAGAGGCTTCATGTAGGAGAGAGAAAGCGGAGTACATCTGGGCTTCTCTTCACATCCCCAGGAGTACCAGGGACTCAGGCAGATTGGAAACCATTTTGTCACTGTGGCCGGCAGCCAGGCACGCAGCTCGGCGTGGGCACAGCCACTTAATGCTCCTGTGCCGTAATGCCTCTCCAAAAGCAAAGAGGGGGAGACCTGACAGCAAGGCTCTACAGTCCACTTAGCTGGGCAAGGCAGGGGGCTGGCTGGCGTCAGCGCAGGAGCAGAGCAGGGGCAGGAGGCTTCTCACTCAGAAGCCCTCAGCCGTGGTCCAGGAGACCAGCTGGAGCCTTCTGCTGAGGTCAAACGAAGGTCTTCTACTTTACATTAAACCTTTCTGTAAATGGTGCCAACCACTATCTGCATGCAAATGGTGGTTCACGTGAAGCAATTTCTCTCCCAAACTATTAGAGAAACTTTTATTTATAGAAAATCGAAGAAAACAAAAAACAGGATGAATACCCATTTATTTTAGATCTACATTCAATATTGACAACATTTTGCTCTTTTTTTCTGTCTCTCCTTTCCTTCCTCTTTGTCTTTTTGCTTAAAGCATAGCATGTGCATACCTGGTCCAGGCAGAGGCCAGACGCGACTGTTGGATCCCCTGGAACTGGACTTAAAAAAGGCTATGAGCAGCCATGTAGGTGCCGGGAATCGGACCCGGGTCCTCTAGAAAAGCCAGTGCTCTTGACCCCTATCCATAGGTCAAAGCCATCCTATCTGGTCCCTTTCTCTCTCTCTCTCTCTTAAAGATTCAGATATAAATACATACATTTCCCCTGAGCCATTTTACAGTAAGTTACAGACTCCAGGAGGCAACCATTAAAAATTAGGACATCTTTCTGTGTAACTAATAAAATTATTCATAAAAGTTAATAATTCTGTAATGACTTATTTTCCAGGTGATCAAATTTCTCAAACTTCTTTTCCTGATCTCAGATCCAATAAAACCTAATGTCTTACACTTGGGTGTTAGATTCCCATTGAATTTTTTTTTTTTTTTTTTTTTTTTTTGTAAGTAGCATTGGTAGGCAGTCTTCCTGCCTCTGGCTGCCTGTGCTGAGCTGTGTACGTGCGCTCTCCCATTTATTCATGTGTTGAAAATAAAATTGGTTTTGGGCTAAATAGTGTTTATTATTTTCCCTATAACTGTATTATTTCACCCGCTATCATAATAAGACACAGACCTGTTATACTTTAAAATTGCCTTGTAACACCTTGGGCTGGGCAGATAATTCCACCTACCCTATCTCAGTAACTTCCCAGCCCGAATCCCATGCTATCCACCTTAACCATTCCTATCTGGGCTACCTTCCATCCGTAATCTTATAAATACTTGCTTATATATATATATTTTTTTTCTTGGTGTTTCTTCTCCCTGCCTACATGGTTCCTTCTCCATTATAACCCATCTTGGCATCCTTCTTCCTCCTCTCTTCCTATCTGTTTCCTCTGTTTTTCCCAAGATTCTCCTGTCCCCAAAGCCCCTTTCCTCCTCTCCTCCCAGTCTACCCCTTTCTCCTCTCCCTCTGCCCCTCCCATACCAACCTTCCCTAGCACATCAAGTCACATCAGGACTGAGCATATATCCTCATCCCCTGAGGCCAGTCAAGGCAGCGCTGCCAGGGGAAAGTGATCCAAAACCAGGCAATAGAGTCCATGTTAGAAACAGCTCCCACTCCACTCGCCAGGCTCCCCATACGAAGACCAAGCTGTCCGTTGCCACATGTGTGTAGGGAACGTAGGTCCAGCATGGGCATGCATGCTCCTTAGTTGAGGTCTCAGTCTCTGAAAGCCCCCATGGGATGGGTTAGTTGTCTCTGTTGGTCTTCTTGTGAGGTTCCTGTCCCCTCCAGGTTCTTCCATCTTTCCCCCAACACCTCCACAGGAACCCCAGAGCTCCACCCCATGCTTGGCTGCAAGTCCCAGCATCCACCCCAATCTGCTGCTGGCTGGAGCCTCCCAGATGACAGTCACCTGATCCATGCTGGTCTCTGGGGTGACAGACCAGGGCGGGTCCCAGGAAATGGCACAGGCCTGGGAACTGCTTCCCCCCCCCCCCCCCGCTCTGTCATTCCAGCCCCTCTTACTGCTGTTGTTAAGTCTCTTCATGTGGTGAGGCTGGCCTTGAACTTAGAGCAATCTGGCTTCTGCTTCTTTTTGTTTTTTGAGACAGGGTCTCCCTATGTAGACCATCCAGACTGGCCTTGAACTCACAGAGATCCTCCTCCTTTCACCTCCCTTGTGTAGGAGTAAAGATATACACCACCATGTCCATCTGGATTTCTCTGATGTATAGAAGCATTTTCTTGAGCCTAGCCTGGTGGCAAACTCCAGTGGCAAACCTCCCAGCGTGTGGGAGGGAAAGGCAGCATCGATGTGCGTTCCGTGCCAGTTAGAGCTACGAAGTAAGACCCTGTCTCAAGAAAAAAAGCACAGGGTGCTTTCTGGGGGCTGGAAAGATGGGTATCCTCTTCTAGAGGACTGGAATTCCTCAACTCTAGCTTCAGCTCTAGCACCACTTTCTGACTTCTTAGGGTGCATGAGGACACATAAGCACACACACATATAAATAAAAAAAATAAAGTAAAATATTCAAAAGAGACATGCTTTCCCTTGGCAATTAGTAGCACCTGGAAATAAACTCCAAAAATCACACAATAGTTTTTCCTGCTATGTCTGACAGCATGAAGCTTCCTTATTTAATTAGATATTACACTGAATCAAACTAGATTTTGGTATTTGAAGTAATGGGGATGATAACTTTCAGAAGAAATGGGCGTGCTCCAGAGAGGCTTCAGGGGCTGAGACTGCTTCATGCCCTTGTAGGCTCCCAGAATTCACACTGGGAAAGTCACGGCTGCTGTGACTCCATCTCCGAGGGATCTGATGCCCTCTTCTTGCCACCATGGGCACAAATACACATGGCATAGACTTACTCAAACACCCATAAACACCTAAACACACACACAAATACTCATGGCATACACTTACTCACACACACACACACACAAAATAAAATAATCTTAGAAGAGAGAGAGAGAACTGGTGTAGAGGTACACGCTTGTAATCCCACACCAGGGAGGTAAGGCAGGACGGTACTGAGTTTGAGGCCAGCCTGGATTGTTCAAGGTCAGCCTGAGCTATGCAGCGGGATTACCTCAAAAAACAAACAAATATTTTTTTGTTTGTATGTTTTCACATACCATGCTCAGAAGACAAACATTAGCAGATACACAACAGCATGATGTGTGTTTAGATTGTTTCCAGTTCACCCTGTAATGGAATGTTTCATTGGATATCCCCCCCCCACTTGCCCAATTGCTTTGCTTTATTTATTCTTTAAAAAAGACTTTTTAAGATTTATTTTATCTTCCGTGTCTGAGCATTTTGTTCGCACGTATGCCTGTGTAACACGGAGGTCAGAAGAGGCTGTCCATCCCGTGGAACTAGTTCCGGGTGATAATGAACTGCCTTCTACAGTCCTCTGGAAGAGCTGCCCATCGCTTTTAACCACTGGGTCATCTCTCCAGCCCCAAAGCCAGCGTTTTTGTTTGGACACTTCAAATTTGAACGCACACACTCCTTTGGCAGGTGCAGTCGCTGGCTGCGTCATCTCTGCAGCCCCTCCGCCTTTTGCTCTTTGCCATTGTTACAATTAACGTGTTCATTTATTTTATGGGACAAGATTTACTGGGTGTATGAATATGGCTGCTTTTTGGTTTTGCGTATGTGTGTGTCTGACACGGGGTCTTTACTATGTAGCTGGAGCTGGCCTAGAACTCCCTATACAGTAGACTCACAGAGATCTGCCTGCCTCCCACGTGCTGGGACTAAGGGAGTAGCGTGCCACCATGCCAGAAACGAATTCTGTCTTGCAGGAAAACAAAACGTTTCAGAAAAGAAGAGGACAAGGGACAAAAGGTGTGCCCGCCGCAGAAGCCACCCTAGCTATGTGTTCTTCCAGTCCTTTCATGCTTTGCACTATTGGAGACAGAAGTAGGCCCGTGTGCAGGGGTGGAGCAGAGGAAAACGGAAGGCAGGCAAGCTGATGGCTAAGGTCTTGGTTCCTGGCTACCCTTTCCTCACACTTATCGGAAACATTTTGCTTCCCCTCCATTCTTCAGTGGTCCTAGCTCGTTTACTCCACTCCTGCCTGTCCGATAAGTTTCGGTGTTTCTTTCTGATGAGAAGCAAAGGAAAGCACCTCCAGAAAGTGTAAGAAAGCTCTGGGCCTTAGACAAATAAACTCAAGGAAGGTTGAATTTGAAGCCTAGCCCTGCGGGAGTCCCAGTCACCAAAGGTAGGAAAACACCGCCCCCTAGAGGCCAGCCTGGTCATCAACGGAGAGTGGAATCTGGCTGGGGGTCTAGAAACTGGGCTTACCAACATTTTATCATGTATCTTTTTTCTTTTTAATTAATTACAGGTTGTTCACTCTGTATCCCAGCTGTAGCTGC